TGTGTCACGTAACAGGGATAGTAACCGCATCTCACGAAGTGCCCGTCACGTGCTGAATCACGTGTCTATCTCAGACATCGTGTATATAGACCTTTTCCTTTTGTCTATTTCTACTTTAATATGTTAAGCCACTTTTACCACACTCCGTATGCCCATTGCTGCGTGCCATAACTCGTGACAAAAGCATGGTGAAAGACATGCGAGAGGCAATTCAAAGGCTCAAAAGGGGGGGACGGACCTTCTATCGCTATCCACTTGAAAGTCGGGCGTGTCTACCTTTGTCTAGCGAAGCCACCTCGAGCCTCGCTGAACGACACCTTGAGACCGAGGAGAACGCGCTCCCAACACGCCCTTACGATGGCATGGCCGCAATTCTACCCAAATACCATTCGTGGCCCGTGATGCTGTCACATTTCGTTCAAATCACGGAGTTGGACCTGCCGTGGCATCGGTTTACGCGGGTAGGACAAGAGCCGTTACATATCCAGATCGACAGACTCTCTCTTAATATCGAATTTGCGTCAACAGCGACCGGGTTGCTTTCAGTCTATCCTCGGCACAATGGCCCCCGTGAAGGGAGCAAGATTTTGAAAGCAGGCGACATCCCCGTCGACTCAGATCTTCCTATCCAAGGCTCTCGAGCCTCACGCAAGGTGGCGTTCGGCATCTCACTTGATGCCACCGTGGTGATCCAGATCGAATTTGAATGGGAGACATCTTCACATTGATCATGCTTCAAACATCGTGGTTCGTGTCGTACTGTCTAGTGTGGCTAACTTCTCAACGGCTATTTCAGTCGAGCACATCCTCGCAACGCAGTATGTAAATGCGTCTGGCCACGATCAAGAGCTGGACATGGTTGACGATTCTCGTCTTTCGCCAGCGGGTGATACTGTCAAAACATGAAGCCTCCAGTCACATGACCTTGACACATTGCGAGCCGTCATCAAAAATCCCTAATGCCCAGCGTACCCACCAGCGGAACCCCAGCTCTCGGCGAATATGGTCCATAGTCGAAGTCAAGACCTTTCCGTTGAGAGCCGCCTTAGGTCAGCCTTTGCCCCTGCTGGAGCTCCCTACCCATGATTGCTCAGCCTAGATGTAGATGTCCGAGATGTCGATCCGAGCACGAAAGTGAGCTTGCCTGTCCCCCGACTGGCTGCAGAAGGCCCTTCGACCATCGTCTTTGAGTTTGATGGATTGTTTTGGAAGGCAATCGGACGAGAGGGAGGTCGAGTCCGCCTGCAAAGAGTGGACGAAGAGCCAAAGGGTCCAGCAGCCGGTGAACAGCGCTGAGTGTAGTCATCAGGTGCTGCAGAGCAGGATGAGTACGCGTTCGGTCGTAAGGTTTAGCAATATGTTGTCGTTTCGCTATCAATCGCGTTTCGTCTGGCCCCTCCTGCCCGGTGCTCGGCGGGCCTTTCAGCGACGCCTCTATAGAGGCGAGTTCAGGCAGTGCAGTCACCATGGGGTTGGAGATGAGAGGGACGCAGGGCATAGACACGCAAAGTCTAGCACCAGTCAATAGAGACCGGTTGTCATGTTAGGTGTGAGGAGGCCGTACTGAAACATTGCTGATGGAGGAAGATTGGTGGCCCTCTTCGCTATCGTATTCACCCAAGACAATGGTTCCATAGCCCGAATGGTGATTCGGCACGTGAGACGACATCGAAGGAGACTCGTGGCAGATTGACACCATAATCGCGTAATATGCATCAGCGCGTGCGACCACGGACATATCCCCTCTGCCTCCCAAAAGACGGTGCCCCACGTCTACCCATGGGCATTAGGAGGCAGTGAAAGAAGCCGAGATCTCAGACGTGGCGACAAAATCGCCTCTGGACGATCCAAGACAAATGTTGTTGCAAGATCCATTTGCTATGCTCTCTATCCAAATGTGCAGTAGACCCACCCATGTCTCAGCATCTCTGGCCTGTGAACTGTGGGTGCTGCTGAGTTCACCACCATGGTTTACAGTTGTCCACTCTCTTGGAAGCCGTCAAGATGTAGCTAGACACAGCAAAGGTCAATAAGCCAGAAGGATTATCCACAGATTGTAGTGGGTCAAATACCATTTACAGAAGGCATGATTATCGGGATTCCGGATTTCCTTGGTCCAACATTTCTTGCGGCGGGGCTTCGCGACGAGATGCAAAGCATTTGGCCTGCACAAACTGTCTGAGGCACCAATGAAAGCGTTTGCCGCTCTCTCGCTCATTTTCGGATTGCCTGTAGGGATTGATCGGTAAATCAATCGTTGCGCATGTAACGTCGAAACCCTGATCTCGAAGCAAAGCCTCGATTTCCTGTTGATCAGCTTGACGCTTATCGTACTGACGGAACTTCTCTGCCCAGGCCTTGAGAGCCGAGTCTGCTGGAAAAGACCTCTGCTCATCGCCGCAAGGCATAAGATCAACCATTTCGACGATCAAGCAACCACCCGGGTTGAGATTGTTGTAGGCAATTTTGGGGAAGTCCTGCCAATCTACGATGCTCTCGACGACTCGCGCGTGAATGATGTCGTAGGAGGTGCCTTTGCGCCACACCCTTTCGTCATCTCCTATAGCAATGGTTAAATTATCCGGAAGTTTGTCCCTGCATAACTGTAAGAATGTGGATTAATTGGGCAACCGATTCGGCTTACATTGGCGGGTGCATGTCGGTAATGTCGTAACCCACCACTCGACCCTGCAAGTGCCTTACGCATCTTTGCACTCGATCAACCTTGTGACTCGAAAGGTGGGAGGACTAGTGACTGACTCTGCTGTTTCAATCGACCAAATTCCAGTGCGCATGCCATAATCAAGGATTGAGCACCTGTAAGGCAAGGAATTTATGTCTACCTTTGCTCTGGGCTCATTCTTCAGAGTGTGGTGCAGCAGATCGTACGCATCTTTCAGATAGGCCTGAAACAAAGTTAGTGCGAATCAGAATCAAGAGGAAAAGGTGCATATACGACGTTGAGGCTCGGGTCGGTGTTGTCGTCAGATAGGTAATACGGTATCCTTTCGGGGGAGAGCTCCGCATATGTCATCTTCGAATGGGCAGCCTTGCTGCTTGTGTTCGGGGCTTTGGGGGAGCCCAGAACCGCCAACCAATCGTTGAGATGCGATTACAACCTTGATAGAACCTCCAACCCTTACCCGATGCTACCAAAGCCTAGTGGTCACGTGGGTCAACACCCTGCTCTGAGTTGCCATCATATCCCTTTTGGTTTGCTCGCAAACAGGGCCGCCTGTCACCCTACCTTTGGTGAGTTCTTTTGACCTTGAAAGTTTCCACACTCGAGGGCGTTCCATCGAACATTGGCTTTGCACTCACCAACTTGCTGCGAGTTGCCCACCAGTCCTAGTTGAGGTGCGATGGCCCTTATCTTGTTAGGCATGAACCTTACGAGCGTTCAAGGATGACCATAATGGCCAGTCTTCTTCCTGGTCCGTCACTGACACCATTCGACTCAGCCCCTACACAGAAGGTGAATGGAACCTGCGGTAGTAAGCGGGATTTTGCTGTGATAGTTCCTCGCGAAATCGCGTGCTTGAGAAGATCCTGATGGACTAACCGCTTGGATCCAGCGCTCGTCGCGGCATGGGAATTCAGAACGCCTTGGGCATACCGAAACATGTACTGTAGTCCCGCCTCGAAAGCCATCATGTTGTACTGTGCTGTGCGCAAAGACACTGATATCTTTGAGATGCCTGACGGCGAAAGCTGGCTGGGAACGCAACTCCTATTTAAGCGGGTGACCATTTTAAGAAGCCCCACTGAACTAACTGCATCAGCCCTGGAGTACGAGGGCGCCCTTCAAGACATGCCTTCTTAGCTTAGCGTGCTTACGTGCGCCATAGCCCTCACGAGCTCATCCCAGCCCCTTGACGATGCTGCTGTGTTGCCAGCAAGACCGAACCATAGCCGCTTGGGATATTCACGTAGGGTCGTTGTAGTGGGTACGAACTGAGGTCCGAGTGTGGGTGTCGGGCTGTGAAAACTCTCTCTTGTGATAAGCTCATGGTTCGGATGGGGTCTCCGTCAGCTCTCGCACGGGTGGAAAGACTCGAAAGAACGAGTTCTTCAGCGGTAGGGCCCAGGAGTTGAATGAACCACGTGGGATTGTTCCTGCTCGGAATTGGCCAATCTGGTTTGCAGCAACCTCAGGGGAGCGCTCCGCCACTCGGTGGCGGATATGCTCAATTAGCCACCTGCGGAGGGCCCGTTCACCGAGCGCTTGCTATCAGGCTGCAGATTCAGCACCACTGCTGGGTCGGTGGTCCGTAGAGCCGCGCGCCTCCGGTACCCCGCGGGTCCTTATGGAGCTATGGTGCACGTACTCAGTACGTTGCCAAATTTTCGACATGGGATCGATAAGATTTTCGAAGTACGCGAAATCACCGCGACGAGGCTTCGTCATGGAGGGATGTGCGACGTTGGGCGATATCAAACGTTCCATATACCTCAGATGCTTTTCGGAGTGCACTGCGAGGTCTGTTTGCCGGAAGGCGAGCATGATGGCGCTAATGAATCGCTTTCTTTGCTACCAAGCTGTGTGGCTGTCCAAGCGACCTTGTTGTCGATAGAAGAGTACAATGCCTCCCCTCGCCGAGAAGATCCCAGATCGACGTAAGCCATCCAACGATAGACCAGATAGACATTCCTCTTGCGGAAATGTTCGTTACTGATCTGTGAGATGGCGCGGTCTACGTGCGTCTTGAGGCTACGGGGATTCATGGCTGTGTGGCCGGCAGTGATAATGAGATGTCTCATGTTTTTACAATGACTCCACGTGAGTCTGAGACACTCTTTAGCTGTGGGGATTATGCGTGCTCCCTGCAAGTCCTCCTCGGGCGGCCACGCTGGCGTATGACTGCACGGCGTTCCCCTGATTCATCGGGGTCCAGTGCTTTGGTATCATTTTCGACCTTTACCACCAGCTCGCTAGTTTGTCAAGCCTCCCTAGCGGCTGTGATGACCACGCGCATGGCATTGGGCTTGTAAGTTCGACTGTGCTCTGCTGCACCGCAGTCCTGATGATTTTCGTTTCGCGGGTGGTGTTCTCGATGTCTGTTTTGGTTGCCGCACGTAGGCTCTCGATAGCCTAGTGGGGGTGTCCAAGCTCGGGCAGATTCTGCATTTTGGCAAGCAAGAGAGGGTAGCAAGGGGCATGGCTCTCATGGCTTGCAAGCTGAGGGATTGGCCATTTGCGATGTCGATAGACCTGACTGCTGTCTGGAGGTGTCTGCTAAGTTGGGTGGCGTGCTCTCGGTGATGCGTCGGCCATCTTTGCATTACTACCCGAGGATATTACTGCTGCCTGTACGACCGACTGTACGCCGGAACGATGTGATAATGCCACCGTCCGGCCCTGTGAGCCTCCCGAGCTCGAGCCCGGCCTGCCGGGGCAGTTCGTGCCCCTCGAGGTGCCGCACCGGCCCGCCGAGGTGCTCGAGCTGCCCAGGCAGCCGGTAGACCTCTTCTTTGACTTCGTGCCGGCCGAGCTCGTGGGCCGGTGGGTTAAGTGGACTAACGCGGGGCCGCCCTCCGCGAGGCTCGGGCCAGCACAAAGACGTTCTCGCAGTCTTCTATGGAAGCCAACGACCTCAGACGAACTCTACCTCTTCTTAGGCATTCTAATTTATATGGGAATACACCCTGAAGCAGAAGTCGCAAGATATTGGTCAGTTCAGCAGGATCGGGAGGATCCTATCCATCCTTTTACTCGACTCATGACGAGAGACCGCTTCCAGCTCCTCTTCCGTCGGGTTCGGATCTTCGACGCAGCTCTAATTACGGCACCAACCCGGCCAACCCCTGGCGGCCGTGGCCGTGATCCCCGAGAGTCTCGGATGCCGAAGGTGTACAAACAAGTCAATGAGTGGTCCGCCCACATCCAAGAGACCGGCGACCGCTTCCTCCGGCCCGGCTCGGACCTCACCGTCGACGAGGCCATGGTCCGGTTCACGGGCCGGTCTATGGAGACCACAACGATCCCGACGAAGCCGATCCCGCAGGGTTTTAAGGTATGGGTGTTGGCACAAAAGGGGTACTGCCTCCGGTGGCTCTGGCACGTCCACGGCGACGGGCCTTACGGACTTGTGCCACAAGCCCGGCCCGCAGCAGGTGACCAAGCGGCCCGGAAGACGGCACTTACGCCGACCCAGCTGGTGGTCACCTCGCTGCTTGCCCTCCTTCCATTGGCTACTTACCATGTATTTCTGGATAATTTGTTCGCCTCCGTGAAGCTCTTCCGGGCCCTGCGAGACCCAAAGATCGGTGCCACGGGCACTTGCCGTAAAGACGGTGGTATTGATAAGACTCTTGTGGCTGAGAAGGAGACGGAAGGTAGAGGAATCCCCTGAGGGCAGCTCCATGCAATCTCCACAGCCGACGGGCAAGTAAGCGGTCAAAAATGTCTCTTGTTGTTGACTCCATACTTATCCATTTGTTTGGATGACTTCCAGGTTAACCAGTTCACCTGGAAGGATAATGCCCTCGTTCTCTTCCTCACCACGGTCTTCGACGAGACCTCCGAAGTGGTCCGCAACCGCCGCCGGCCTGCCGGCAACACTGCCGCGAAGAAGGCGGCACGGGAAGTCTTTGGTCCGGACGTGCGGAAGGATCTAAGGATACCTCTGGCAGTAGATGAGTACAACCACCGAATGAACGGTGTCGATACGAGTGATCAATCGCGGTCCTATTACGACTTCAACAGGCCCGTGAGAAGGGGTAGTTGGCAGGCCTTGGCCTGGAACTTCCTCCTCGAAGTGATTATCATCAACACTTTCCTTCTCCAACAATGGGGTAACCCGGACTATCCCCGGATTAAGACCCAACTTGAATGGCGTAGACAGCTGTCTACCCACCTTATTCAGAGGTTTGGAACATTGGCTGCTGTTCGTCAGCGGGCGCGGCCACGGAGGGCAACAGACCGCCGGAACGAGACGGTCCCGTGGCAATTACATAAACGGGGGAGCAGAAAGGTCTCCTCGCCATGCGTAGCTTGCAGCCAGATCTCACAAATTAAGGATAGGACTGCCCTAGGGCCCATAAGTGGGAACAGCCACACGCAGCGTACAAAGCGGAAGTACTCAAGAAGGGGTTGTCTAGAATGTGATGTGGCCATATGTACCAGCGAAGATTGCTGGTACCGATTCCACACGCAAACTTTATAGTCGATGGAGGTACTCACTATCAATCACGCTCATTGGGTGAGAAAAGGGACTCGAGATGGTCTGATTGGCTACTACTCCGCATATCAATGTACCGACGTCATGCCGCAGTCGATGGGATAGGTTCTGTCAGACTGCCCCAGCACATTCGCTACGGTAATTGTGTCACCTCGGGCGACCTCACTGATGCTTCACCAGAGGTATGAGTAAGGCTAGCAAGGGTATCCGTATACGAAGGGATCGTACACTCCTTACATGGATATGGGATTTCTTTCTATAGCCATTCACCCGTCATACTCATCAATACACACAAAATGACCCCTGCCCGTCTAACTGCTGCTCGATCGGTTCATCCAACTTATTCGCGAGTCACGGGATCGCGTGCCAGGGTGGTGTCAAGGGTATCGCGAGTCACGGCGAAGCCATGACCCCTTTTCTTGCGGCGACGCGCCGCTCGCACAGTGCGATGTCTCGTTTCTCTTCTTTGCGTTACATCTTGTATCTAGACCTGACCCTACGGGTCATCACAATCCACCTACTACTTGGAACCTGATCTCTACAGCCGTGACCCTCACATCGCGGGTAAGAAAGTACTGTGTGCATAGTACAGCACAACACCTGAGTTGCGGTGTCTTTTGCCCGGATACAGGGTGAGGAATACACAAGAGATCAGCGCAAGAAAACCTGGGCACCACACAGTGGCATTGACGGATGGCCGTAATTAGAGAGTGTCACCGCGTACAGTTACTCAGCTACTCAGTTGATCACATAGTCGGGCCAGGATTGCGCCATAAGACTTAGATGCCACTCATTCATAAATCTACTACAGGCCCTCCAGAACACTCTTAGCAATAGAACCACGCTTATCCTTATTCAGTGTGCCACTGCAGACCATAATTACTGATTGAGTTTTTTGGGGTTGTTCACCCCGGTTACCCCGGTCACGCGACTTGCGATGCGCAGATTGGGTACAAGAATCATGTGATAGCTCACGTGATTGATACCGTGTTGTTATCCCCCATCTGTCCAAACCTAACCCCGCTTATCAGCGATAAATAACTTCGACGGCATCACGTGTGGGCTCAACGCGCACGAAGGACATATCACCCGTTGCTGAGCAACCAATCACACTATCTTTGCGCATTACACTTCTAGCCATTCACTTAGTCCACAATACCCGGTTATCGTGTGTACCATCGTCTACAACAAAATCACGAGAATCACAGAAAGGAAGTTGAAACAGATATTTCTACTTCTACATTCGACAAACAACCGCTTGGCTCGATCTGTTTGTCTTTCAGGCCTCCATCAGTGTCCATGTTACCACCCAGAAGTAGTTGCACAGGATACGTCTGCGATTGGCTCTCACAGCTCCCGAACGCTGATGTGTTTGTATCTTGCACGTCTAAATGGCCCTTTTCGACCTCTCACCGCTCCAAGGGACACAAGCGCACTTACGAAGACTACAGCGATAGTGCGCACTGCCCTCGAGAGGCACCAGATGCGCTGACCCCGCCTGCATCTTCGACTTCACTGGAGCTTAACAGGACCGCAGATGTCTATATGAGCCCTGAAAGACTCGTTGAATCTCGTTCAGACGCGAATACCGACTCGCGAGAAATCTTTTCGTTCTCTGCTATGGACCCAGACCTCGAACACCATCCCGCAACACCATCTAAGCGACGTCGACTGCACGGCAGCCAGATTGATCCCCATGCTACTCCCCGAGCCATCTTTCCCGCTGATTCGGCATCGCAGTCCGGCAGCAGGGCCCCGTCTTCTCTTCAGTCCGCGTCCAGAAGCTCGTCTCCATCTAAGCAAATGATGGCCTTGCAGCTCCACGAATATCCGCTCGAAATTGCATCTATTGACTCCCTGGAGTCTGCGCCACAGCTAGCGCCCAAACTCACAGCCGTTCTTGCGGCTATAGACGGTTTCGCCAATGGTCATGATATCATCCCCGAAAGTCATCGCTGCTACCTATCCGGGCTGCTCTTCGGCATTTCGGATTATAGCTTCTTCGATGCCAGCAGAGGCCAGACACGACGTGGGCCAGTTCCCGACTATCGAGACGTAGATCATATTGTCAGTTGCTCACAGTTCTGCATTCGGGAGCAGGTCGATGAAGATGGCTGGGGAGCGGAAGTTCATCATCGGGTATTGTCCGCTGCATTACGCCGACCGTATGCCCCCATCAAAGACGGACTTGTTAACTTCGCTAGCACGTAAGTCCCACCTAGTCTTGGTTGCCTCGTGCCACTATTGTGATGCCTGACTGCCGAGTGCCTCTATCGTGATATGGAATTTTTGAATGACTGAATTATGATTCTGCAGGAAAACCGCTCCTCTTCATGCAAAGCTCCTGAAGCGGATGCAGACCCCTAGTCGGATGGTGGACTACTGCATGTACATTGACACTGAGGTTGCGGGAATTGATGATGCCTCAGTATCCAATGCAGTTAGACGCCTCCGCGCCCAGTCCGGCTATAGCACCGTCAATCACACCTCCTACTTCCATTTACGCGACAACCCCGTGTCACTAAGCATCGAGTCTAAGAGACCCGGTGGTAGTGTGGATGATGCGCAGCTCCAGATGGGTAGCTGGCATGCTGTTCAATGGGCATTTCTGGACGAAGCCACGGCAAAGACGGGTTCAAGTCTCCGAGACCTTCCGTTTCTTCCTGGGCTAATCGTCCAGGGAGAGCATTGGTACTTCGTTGCAACAACACGGGAGGGTAAGAAGACGGTAAGCCGGCCCAATTTTCTTATCTGAGTGACTTGTCATTTGATTTGATTTGATTTGAGATGTTACTTTGAATAGACTAACAGTTCTTCTCTCTTTAGATCCTTTGGACTAAACTTGTGGTTGGAACCACATCGAATGTTCGGGGTGTGTACAAGATCATCCGGACGCTCCAATACCTAGCATGGTGGACGGAAACGGCTTACTGGCCATGGTTCGCATTAAACGTTCTCGATCTGCGGAAGGGGCGATCAGTTGTAGCATCCACTAATGCGAGCGGCGCATTGTCCCATGTATCCACTAGCTAGCGCTCTTTAAACCGGCACGTTCTGCTACTTTCATTAGCCATGCTCATGACTCTTCAGTATCGACTGTAGCTGTCTTCAGCTTCCAGTGTGCAAGAAGTCATGAGGTGAACATGAAGTACTGTCCTCCAATCAGGTTACTAGATGTACATGTCCAGTAGTGTTTCTTACTGACAGCTCTTGTTGATTGTACACTACTCAATGCAGAACGGTGCTGTTATGTCTCTGTGCGCCTATGCTCTCGCACTAGACTAAGACGCGGTGGCTACTTAACCTCAGCGCCACAAGCCGAAACGAGCGGTGCACTAAGTGAACATCCCTAAGCCAGGGCAGTCATTATCCAAGTGGTAGAATTCATCTTCAAGACTACAAATAGGTGCCTTATGACCAGAATAGCCCGAGATGCACGTGATTTGGTAGACGATATCCCAAGTAACAGAAGCCTGAAAACATGTTACCGGCGAGTACACGAATAGGTGCATCTTGATACAAGTCTTAATTCAAAATGACAAGATGCTCGATAGTCCGCCAGTTTTGTCGACGCGTTAGCCTGGTAAACAAAACACCGATAAGAAAGAAAGGCAGGGAATAGAAGAGACCTGCTTCTCAACATCTTGAACCACGTTGAACGAGAAATCCCATTAGCCATGTTTTTGATCCATTGATTCTCGAAAGCTTCACAAAATGGCGCAAATCATACCCTACGCCCAGTCCAACAAGCTATGTCGCGTGCGCGGAATCGGCCGGCATTCCGCCTGCGAGGTTGGCGTATTGACTATTAGCATAATCCAACAGATTCTCTTCCGAGTCAATGCCACCGTTTCTAATGAGACAGTCATAGCTCGTTTTGACAAGGCTAGCGTTGCCTGTTCTGTCTGCACTGACCTCCCAGAACATCGCTCCGCCCAAGCCCTTCGATTTGATGAAAGCAGCTTTGTTTCGCACTGACGATGAACTATCGTAACTGATCAGTTCTCTGGTACGGGAGTCCCAGCTGTACGATGAGCCTACGGCCGGATCATAAACCTCCTGGGCTCCAGGTCGTGGTAAGACCTTGTAGTCCCACACGCCAGCTTCCCATGATCCTGCCCCAACCGTTGAAAACGGATGGCCTAGGCCAGTGGTGTTGTAGAAGCTGCGGCCGTACAACGGCATACCCAGTATGATCTTGTGACTAGGCACACCCGCGGCTACGTAGTCTGAGACGGCAACATCTGTCGAGAAAGGTGTTGACTGTGCTTCTAAGGTGCTAGAATAAAGATTTGCCTGGTGTCCGGTAATAGCACTCCATGACCCCGCGTAATCGTATCCCATGAGATAAAAACAGTCGACGATATCCGATATGGCCCTAAGGTCAAGCCTCTTGTATTTCTCACTTCCGGCGGACGACGCAATGCTGAGTTGAAAATGGTAGGAGGGGGCATGCTCTGCAGCGTAGGCGTCAAGGCGACGTCGCACGGCTTGGAGCAAGAGTAGAAAATTTGCAGCTTCCACCTTGTCTCGGGGAAATTCCCAGTCGATATCAATGCCGTCAAAACCCCAGTCTTTCATCAACATCACAGAAGACTCGGCGAAGAGCTCTCGGCTCTGTGAGTTACTAGCAACAGTAGCAAATTGGGTTGACCAAGTTGCACCTCCAATGCTTAACATGACCTTGAGCTTGCGGTTTGTCTTTTTCAAGATAAAAAGTTGCTTTACGCATCCGTAGACGTTGGACCCTGTGTCTGTCCAGGCTAATCTACCAGTCAGCTCTAGCACGGCAAAGAACTGCGACAATAGTCCGGAGATGAAATCGAAATGGCCATACAATCAGTTGAGTAATGCTTCTCCAAATCCGCATATACGTCGGCGGAGAACCTGAATGAGCAGCAACGGGGGTTGTCAGCCGAGGCCAGAGGATGAGGGAAATAACTCACACTTCTCCTGAAGGTTTGATATTGACAAAAGCGTACAGAATGTGCGTTATTGCGGAAATTGGTAGCATTTGAGGATGGAAATCGCGACTGTAGATACTCCTAGAGAATCAAGTCAGCACCAAACCGAACACAAGCAGGCAGTGTTGTGATACCAGTTGGGAAAGTAGACGGCATTCTGTCGCCCAGTAGAAGCGACGAAAGTCACAAAAGTTACCAGAACTCCAATGAACCATAGATTGCAATGATTCATGTTAGTGCACGCCAGTAGCCATAAAGAAGTAGCTTCGTTGGGGTTTATATACTCGAAGGTGATACGACTGCACCTTTAGATTACGTGGTCTTTCTCAATTTTATGTCAACAAGACGCTGAAGCAACCAAGCCAGCCTATGAGCATTATAGAAGCCTGATATTTTAACGTCATCTTTATAGGAACATTTTGAGTCAGACGCCATTTATTGATACCCGTGGCGACACATTTCAGCAGTGATCAAGAATGAGTTTTCTCTTCGGTGACGGGCATGTCAGAGCAACAACTCCACCGAGATTAGCAGTTTCACTCACGAGTCAACATAGACCACCCGGATTTCTTGCGTTTTTGTTTTATCAACTTGCGTTAATATCTTTCTTCCGCTTCCTCTCCATAGTGGCAACTCTATAAATCATTAGAAGACTCAAGTGCTTGTTTTGGCAAGTGGTGAGCACATCGGGCGCACGGGTACCTGCCTACATTGATAATTAATAGACGCTGAGATCTAGTCCTTCTTAATAGGAACCTGGGAGAAAAGATAACGTGATCGACAGACAATCACTAAACACCCTGGCAACACCAAAGAGGCATAGGTGGTGGTTTGTATTATAGAATCTTTGATCAATAGGATAATACTTTAGTCCCGTAATCTGAGGCTGAGGCTTACCGTCGGATTGGAAATCCAAATCGACCTTGAGGCAAAGGGCCCGCGCAAGGGCCACTTACAGACCATACTCACGATCGTCGCGGCCTACCCAACCTTCGGGTGGAACCTCCTTTTGATACCTTACGCAGAAGTTCATATAGGTCAATGGACCTTTTTGCCAAACCACGGTTCGAACCAGCTACCCTCCAATAGGGATACCAACATAGTCCGCTATTCTGTTACTCCTTCGCCAACTTCTTGCAATATATCTCCAATTACAATCACCAAGTCGTTCGCACGCTTGCCGCCAAAGCATAGTGGTGACATTACCCGGAATAGTTGTGTAGAGTGAATCGGGTCCACGGTCGGGGGTATCTAGCCTAATATACTTCAGAAAGGAAGCACATACAATCTTCGACTTAATGTCACGAAACGTGAGGGTATCAGTGATTGAACCCTGTAGAATTGACCAAAAAATAAACTAGCAGACCAAAGCTGAAGTCCATAATGACCCTACAATGTAATTTGCACCGTTTTCGCAATTTAAGACATGCGAGCCCCCAGACTAGAATCGTCAGGTCTCGTCCAGCTGAAAGTGGTGCGCCTGGTCAATATCGCGCTGGTTAACTTTCTTTAGCAGTTACTTCCAGAAGTTTCTTGTTGGTTCTAGCGAGTGATTAGTTTGCTTTCACCATCGCGCAGCCTGCCTACTGTTCAAGTCTTTGAGCTGATGGTATGACTTTGGTTCTTTTTCCCCCATGGGAAGCGTTTTTGCTATGTTTGGTGATTGATGCGCAGACTACAGAGGCCAACAGCGTCGACCCCATATTTGAAACGGTAGATAACGGTAAGCCTAACGTGGCTTCCATTCTATACATTAGTGATCTCAAGTTCTATTTCGAAGGCCCGAACAAAAAGTACGTGGCATGCAGTCGATCAACCCGACACTAGTTGCACGAACAAACAAAGCAACAGAACATTGCTTGAAGATGTTAAGGAGGTTTCTTCTGCCTCTATCAGCATCCAAAACGTAACCAAAACATAAGTAACCTTACATTCATGGATGAAGAATGTAACGTTGTCGCCAATCGACGTGGCTCTCAGTAAGGATGTGTATTTCCCTCCTTTTTACCTTTTGTTTTTTCTTTCTACTTTGGATGCCCAAGCGCTCTGGCTGAAATAGGTTTGCGGTACTTCTACCACAATCAATGTTATCAATCATAGGAGCGCTGTTTCCATTGCTTCATTGTGTTCAAGTGGCTTAGTTGAAGCAATCATTGCATTTCGTGTCGTGGCAACAACATTGACAAGCTGAGTCTTGGGGCCAGCGTACCTACTGGGAACGGGACATAAGGTAATGATGCCAGAGGCATCATGACGAAATCTTTGCTTTGTGCCACAGTTGCCTCTCTGACCTGCTCATAACAATAAGAGCGCTTTGACTTGAGGAGTTAATTGTTACTCAGAATCCAGAGTAAAGCTCTCAGTTATGTACCGTGGCGTCCAAACTTGCTAGTGTCAGTAAAGACCTGACGTGAGCTTCCGTTTCTTTGCGTTACGTTAAGCTTGAGGAGCAAGGGCCTATGCACGACCATGGGGCGGCATGCCAACGGGATTGCCTGCAGGCTCGTGAACACTGCACATTTCTCTAGACGTAACCAACTCAAACTCAAACCTGCTTGAACTGATCCACCGAATCGCAATACATTCTTTCTCTTAAAGCCGATTACGCTCATAATTTCATTATGATGATCGCGGGAGTTTCCCATTCGTCGTACTATCCACCGGCATCATGAACAAGACCGTCATCATCTCTGGTATCGCAATAATCATTGCGATGGTTGTTCTCGTCCTTTTTCTTCTCAACCTCGGAGTTTTGAGACGTGCATGTAAGCCGCGCCTTCCCTCGATGATGCTGAATGGCGGTCTCTTTGGGCAGGGCGCTTACGTACAGCACTAATCTGACGTGAGATGAGACAGATCCGAGCCTGAGCCGCACCTGAGTAACGAAAATCACGTTGACGAAGGCATAAGTCTCACTCACGCAAGCTGTGATATCTATCAACCATCTCGGAGCTGCCTCGGAGGCGATGAGTGGGACTTTAGGGACTTTCATCGCTTGGGGAAGACTCTTAGTGTAAGGCGCCTAATAACCTGCAGCTGAATGTGTATCACGATTATTCGTCGCTGTCG